ACGTCCCCGACCTGCTCCTGCCAAGCCCGGAGCAGACAAAAACAAATATTGTCAGTACCATAGGAGCCATGGTCACCTGACTGAGGATTGCGTCCACCTCAAGGACGCCATTGAAACCCTCATCAAGGGAGGGAGGCTCACACAGTACCGGTGAAGCGACGCTCCCCGTCGTGACGCCCAAGAAACCAGGGAGCCAGAAGAAGATGCCCGACCATCTGACGAGTCGGTGCCCATCCAAATTGCCTTCTCTGTGACCAGGCCCGAGGATTTCGACTTCCCCGAGCACCTGCAAGAGCCACTTACAATGCACAGCAGGTGGGAATACTTCCCCTCTGCCCTGGTCATCAACGGTGGCGGGTTCAACGACTTGACCATCAATTCAGCCAAGAGGAAGCTGGACGAACTGGTCGACGCGGCCCCCCCGCAAACAGTGACGTTTGAAAGGGTGAAGGGCAGGTCAGAGCCCATTACCTTCTACCTAGAAGAACTCCCCGGCGGAGCCCCGAACGCAGTCATACCCTTACTGATAAGGGCAAGAATGGCCAATTTTGATGTACATCGCATCCTGGTCGACGAAGGGAGTTCCGTCGACGTCATGTACAGCCAACTGTTCCGGACCCTTCAGCTGGACGACTCACATCTTTCACCATATGTGGGTTCGGACTTACAAGGTTTCAACGGCTCGACCTCCAAACCCTGGGGATATGTCGAGCTTCTGGTTACGTTCGGGGAAGGGACAGCCACAAGACAAGTCAAAGTACGCTTCCTTGTCATCGACTGCCCGTCTCTGTACAACTGCATCTTGGGGAGACCGACACTGGCAGAGCTGACGGCGGTACCCTCGACCGTCCACCTGAAGATGAAGTTCTACACCAAGAGGGCACGGGTAGCCACTATCCAAGGAGACCTAGCCGCTGCCCGCAGGTGCTTCAACGCCGCTTCTAAGGGACGTGATACTATCGACATAGGGACCAGACCCGCCAAAAGGACAAGACAGAAGCCCGACAGGAAAGCATCCCCCGAGGAAGAAGTCCAGAAAGCTCCACCAAAAGTCAATTCCATAGCTCTGGACACCCGCTTCGACTAGGACGAGCCATCCAGCAGCGAGCAAATCCCACTCCGACCAATACCGGACGGGGATTTTGAACTCGTTCCCCTCGGCACAGATCCGACCAAGGGAGTGAAGATTGGCAAAGAACTCCCCGACTTGGCCAGGAAGCAAATCAAGGCCTGTTTGCGCGAGAATGCTGATCTATTCGCCTGGAGCGCCGCGGAGATGCCCGGACTCGACCCTGAGGTCGCTTGTCACCACCTCGCCATTGATCCAGCCGCTAGGGCCGTAGTACAACGTAGGCGTAGGCAGTCTCCAGAAAAAACGGAGGCTGCTGAAAAAGCTGTAAAAGACCTCCTAGAGGCAAATTTTATTTCTAAAGCCCGGTATTCCACCTGGATGTCAAATGTTGTACTCGTGAAAAAGAATAATGGAAAATGGAGGATGTGCGTTGATTATACCGATCTCAACCGGGCTTACCCGAAAGATGTTTTTCCTTTGCCTAACATAGATATGCTGGTCGACAACTCGGCCGGCTACAAAACATTGTCGTTCATGGACGCCTACTCGGGCTATAACCAAATCCCGATGGCCCTGGGCGACAAACACTGCACGACATTCATGACCAGCTCGGGCAACTATTACTACAATGTAATGCCCTTCGGACTGAAAAATGCCGGGGCAACTTACCAGCGCATGATGAATAGAGTTTTCAGAAAACAGATCGGCGACATGCTCGAGGTATATATGGACGACATGATCGTCAAGTCCCGAGCAGACACCGACCATGCAGCACACCTCAAGACAGTCTTTGCCCAAGCAAGACAGTGTAAAATGAGGTTCAACCCCGAGAAATGTACGTTCGGGGTTAAGGCAGGAAAATTCCTTGGATTCTATCTAACAGAACGGGGAATCGAAGCCAACCCCGACAAATGTCGGGCGTTCTCCGACCTCCCAACACCAACGTTGAAGAAGTCGATACAAATCATGAACGGCATGCTCACGTCGCTATCCCGATTCGTCGCGAGATCCGCTCAGCACGCCCTCCCCTTCTTCAAACTCCTTCGAAAGGAAGCAGCCTTCGAGTGGAATGAGGAATGCGAGCAGGAACTACGCCACCTAAAGCAAAGTCTGTCTCAGCCTCCCGTGCTATCTCGACCAGACGACGGGGAGCCACTGTATTTGTACTTGGCCATTTTGAACGAAGCCATCAGCGCGGCCCTCGTCCGCGAGACCACCGACGGACAGAAGCCCGTCTACTTCACGAGCAAAGCCCTGCAAGGACCCGAAAGCAGATACCAACAAATAGAAAAGGTGGCCCTGGCCCTCTTCAACACGGAGAGGAGGCTCAGACACTATTTTCTGGCCCACACGATCGTTGTGCGAACCGACCAACCGGTGAGACAACTCCTGGGTCAGCCAGATATGGTGGGCAGAATGTTGAAATGGTCCCTGGAACTCTCTGAATTCGACATTCAATACGAGAGTAGGAAAGCCTTGAAAGCGCAGGCCCTGGCCGACTTCGTCGCGGAGATGACCAGTTACGACCCACCCCCAGAGAAGGAACACAAGTGGACCATCTTCGTCGATGGAGCATCCAGCTCGTCCGAAAGTGGCACAGGAATCCTTTTGGAAAATGAAGAGGGCGTAGTGATCGAGCACTCCCTAGCTCTTTCCTTCCCGACATCAAACAATCAAGCAGAGTATGAGGCCCTGCTCGCAGGATTGAGGTTAGCCGAGGACCTGGGAGCCCGTGAGGTACAGATCTACACCGACTCCCAACTCGTCGCCTCCCAAGTCCAGGGGAATTACCAAGCCAAAAACGACAACCTCATCGAGTACTTGAACTTGGTCAAAAAACACATGACAAAGTTCGTACGGGCGGAAATCTCACATGTTCCCCGCGAGCAAAACACGAGGGCAGACATACTGTCCAAACTCGCGAGCACGAGAAAGAAAGGCGGGAACAAATCCGTCATCCAAGAATCTTTGGCACGCCCGAGTATCGAAAAATCCTCGACACTGGTCGAGGTCCACGCCATTGGAGACGCCTCGTCCTGGATGACCCCGGTTTATAATTTCTTGACAAAGGGCGAACTTCCATCAAACCAATCCGAGGCAACCGTCACAAAACGGAGAGCATGCTCCTATGTGGTACTCGAGCATAAACTGTACCGCAGGGGATTCTCCATCCCCCTCCTAAAATGCATAGACGAATCCACAGTCCCCGAGGTACTGCGGGAGATACACGAAGGGATCAATGCCCAGCACATGGGCCGTAAGTCCTTGGCGAGGAAAGCCCTTCGAGCAGGATATTACTGGCTGACGATGCAGCAGGATGCCAAGGAGCACGTTAAGAAATGCGACAAGTGCCAGAAACACGGCGACATGCACCTCGCCCCGCCTCACGAGCTGAGCATACTATCGTCCCCATGGCCATTCGCGTGGTGGGGAATGGATATCCTCGGACCCTTCGTGCAAGGGACTTACCAAAATAAGTTCCTAATCGTGGCGGTCGATTACTTCACGAAGTGGATCGAGGCTGAGGCCCTCGCACAATATCCTCCGTTTCTACAAAAGAAACATCCTCGCCAGATTTGGGATTCCGAGTGCACTGGTGACCGACAACGGCACCTAATTTACCGACCACGGGTTCCAAGACTTCGTCACTAAACTAGGGACAGAACAACACTTCCCTTCGGTCAAGCACCCTCAAACCAACGGGCAGGCCGAGGCCGCGAACAGGGTTATCCTCTGGGGACTCAAACGTCGACTCGGCGAAGCCAAGAGGGGATGGGTCGAGGAGCTCCACAGCGTCTTGTGGGCTTACCGCACAACGCCCCACTCAACGACCGGCGAGACCCCATTCCGACTAACATACGGGACTGAGGCCGTCATCCCGGTAGAAATCATGGAACCATCCAGATGGACAGAGAGTCCCCTCGACGAAGAAATGAACGACGAGGCGCTGAGGGACGAACTCGACCTAGTCGAGGAAATCCGATCTGGAGCGGCCCTGCGCGAAGCCACCCTAAAACAACGAGTGGCTCTGCGCCACAACGACAAGGTCATCAAACGCGAGTTCGAAATCGGCAGCCTGGTATTACGAAGGAACCAGAAAGATTCCCATGAAGGGAAGCTGGCCGCGAACTGGGAAGGACCTTATCGAGTCCACGGCACCACCGGTACCGGGGCATACTACCTCGAGCAATTAGACAGAGAGCCATTACCACGACCCTGGAACGCTGCTAAGCTAAAGCAATACTATAGTTAAAAACTACCGACACCTAGGACCCTCGACCATCGGCACCCGCGCTCGGTCAACGAGGAAAAAACATCCGACTCCGTAGAGAGGCTGAGGTACAAGCCCGACCTACGGCTAAAACGCACAACATCGCTCAGCAAACGAGACCAATCAATGGTGCCCAACGTGGACAACTACATCGAGCTCCACCATCGTAGTACCTGTAAGGCAGAACACCCAGCTCGCGATGGGCAGTTTACACCAAGGGCAAATAGTCCCTACCGAGCCTCGCGCCCGACCGAGCGACTCTACTCCATCTGCCCGACAAATCTTCAAGAATGACGGGCCATCTAAAAGGGTCAAAAAGGAGTCTTTCCCCTCGAGCGAACCACTTAGGTGACTCTGGCCAGCGAGAAAAGGCCGGGCACATATACGAACGAAGACTTAGGCAAGTTTGCCAACAAAGTCACAGCCATACACGGGCACGACCCGGGCACATTACTCGGGCCAATTATATCGCAAAATACATATAATACATACACGGGCAAACAGTCAAATAGAAATAAATTCATTCAATACGCCCGTAGGCAACAAAGCAAATAAAAATAAACCGACCAAGAAGGCCGGCGATGTTCAGGAAGTACAAACCAACGGGCACGCAGGCCCAAAACAAATATCAATAAGGCACGCAGGCCCATCATCATCTTACAATCCAGTTTCCCCGGAGCCATCATCACCGACAACGGGAGAGTCGGGCGGGGGCACGATCGCGCCATCCACGATCTGAGACATGTAGCCCGTCCCTTCAGTGATCAAACCGGGATTCAGCAAGGAAAGTTGGCTGACCGCGGAGTCGAACCCCTCCTCCATAGCACCGACACAATCCGCTTCGAGGAGCCGGATGTGGGCGACCAGCTCCGATCGACTCCTCAAAGCGGCTATATCCTCCGGCTCATCCTCGGCAGGAAGCATGGAGACTTTCAGGTCCTCGATCTGTTGGGTTAGGCCCCCGATGTCGGTCTCCAGACGCTCCCGATCCGCACGGAGAAGCTCTCTCTCCTCGGCTAGCTTCCCCGAGTTTTCCTTCTCCAGAGTCAGCATCTCTCTCTCGGCAGCCAGCAGCGATGCCTGCTCGCGGAACATCTCCTCGGAGCGTTCCAGGGCAGTCCTTAACTTTCGTAAACTCGAGGTGAGGGTCGCTTTCTCCTGTTCCAATTCTTCAATGCGGACAGGATCCTCCCCTTCCTCGGACAGCACAACGGCCATTTCGGCCATTTTCACCAGCCCGACCATATTGGCAGCCAGGTGCCTCCTCCGGTCCTCCTTACTCATCCTCCTGATAACCTCAGCCTCATCGGCAGTCACGGACAAAGGGAACCCCTCGAAGAAACCCTCCTCTTTGAAGCAAGGGGGCAACCCGAAGGACCTTACGCCGTTGGAATCCTCGCCGACCGCCGGCCCACTTTCCACCCGGTTCCTTTTTCTCGGTATCAGGTCAACATGTGGCTCGACCTCCTGGACCTCTGGGGTCTCTTCCGAAGCAGCCCCCGAGCTAGGCGACGAATCCACCCTCACCACATGAGGAGCGCCCGGACTATGCGGCGGGCCCATCCTCGTTGCTTGGGGAGCCTTCACCACCCTCTTGCCCCGCCTCTGGTCACAAGACAACTTCAAGAGTCTCTCCCGTCGCCCGGCCATCGAACCTGCACAAAATAAAAAACCGGGTTAGTGTCGAGCAAATAAGCAGACAAATGACAAGCAAAGAAATTCAAGCAATAAACGACCTAGCAGACGAGCAGCCTGCCCGAATGACTGGCACTCCACGAGTGCCTTAGTATCGATCGGTCGGGCCTCGAATGTCGGATAACCCTCCTCGTCCAGGACATCTTCCCCCTCCCTCGTAGCCCACCTGGCGGGGTGGAAGCTATCAACGTACCGACAAAGAGTGTCATAAGCTTTCTCATCCTCGGAACCCATGTCGCCCGCAGAAGTATGATAATACCCAGTTCCGTGCTCGTAATGCCTATAAATCCAATGCACGGGGAACTTGGTCGTGCGTCCCAACACCGGATACCCGTCGTTGTCTAAAAGTGCCTCCCTGTCATCGTCGCTTATCGGCGCTTCCTCCTTGTATAGGGACTCTAAAGCGGCTGTGGTAACCGGCCTCACGACATACCATTTGTATTTAAAACCCCGCACGGAGTCCATGTACATCTTGAATAGTCTCTTCGATTGTTTCAGGGAGACCCAGCTGTGCTTTCCTCCCCGAGACTGGCGCTACAGATGGAAGATTCTGAAGAAGAGAGGTATAGTCGCCCTGATCCTCAGAAAACGACAGGTCAGCTCAAACGCCCAGATAAAGGCGAGCGAGTTCGGGTGTAGCTGCGACGGGGCCAGCCCCAAATGGGCGAAGACCCCCGCCTGAAAGTCGCTGAAGGGAAGCTGCAACCCAAGGTCTTTGAATGCAATTTCGTACATGGGGAAACTGTACTCGGGGAACACCGAGCAAATCCGAGCAGTGAAGGTCGGTCGCGTAACGACGAAATTCTTTTGAAAATCAGGCTGGTCGTGGCTCGCCTCAAGGACAGCGTATGGCCTTCGGCTACGCCGACTATAGACCGAGGCGATTCCTCTAGGCTCGGCGCCCACCCAGTCCAACAGAGGGTCTTCTACGGTGTCGATCAAACTCACAGCCTCATCGGCACTATGTTTCTCCCTTTCGGGGCATCCAGAAGAGCACGGCTCGTCCGCCATGGTTACCTACAGAGCACGGGAAACCAGTCAATTGGGCACGAAACCATACGCTCGTCGTAACAGACAAGATGGAGTGCACTACAAACCGCGTCGCCCCACGCACGACCACAAAGTTGGTTTGAAACAAAAATAGCAGTCGCCTCCCCGACTTCCAGATACCTCGACGGGTCCTTCTGCAAGCCGCCTAAACAAACCGACAACGCGGTCACTCATGAATACGCCGACCGGGGTATGAACATGGCGAGCAACATCATAAAGCCTAAAGCCAGATCCATGAGCATACCGGGAACGATCATGAATTAGGCGCCCTGGATCATGAAGACCCCGGGCAGCACTGCAGATTATAACCTAAACCATGCATCTACCGGCCACGAGCATGTGTTTTCCGACCCTAAGCATGAACCTGTCGAGCTAAACATGAATTTACCGGGCTAGTCCCACGCGCACAGCCTCTAAAAACGGCTAAAACGATGAAACTCGTGCATCAAAACAGAAAAACAGAGAAGATAAGTCACTTACTTGGAATCAAGGAGTGGACTCGGCAACAGAGGAAAGGAATCGGTGACGGAGATCGCGGCGATGCTATGAGAATCTGGAAGAACAGCAGCAGCAGAAGCGCGAAGAGTACTAACGCGTTATGGGGCCCCAGGACACTATTTATAGTGATGACGTGGAATACCAAACGTCACTGTGATACAGTGGGAGAACTGACTATGGTTTTGCGTTTGTTTTCGCAAATGTTTCGGTTGAGCAAGAGTCGCCACCGACTTTTTATTTTATCCTAAGGAAAGGTTAAAAAGCACAGCAAAAACCTTTTGAGATGTTTTCTTAGGTTCGGGGAGTAGATTATAGAAAGGGAAGGTATTAGCACCCTTTCTATCCATGGTTATCCATGGGCTCTTAGTTACTTGCTTAGATCACTTACTTTTTGTTTCCAATTGTTTGAAATGGTGCTTGTGTGTGTGGGTTTGAAAATGTTTTGAAAAGAAGCCAATGTGGTGGCAACCTTTGTAATGATCCATGTTGGGATGTATACAAAGATGTACGTCTTTTGAAAAGGTTTTCATTTTGTTTGTGAAAATTGTTTTGAAAGTATTGTGAGGTGTGTTTTAGAAAATAGGCAAGTGTTTTGTTTTTTGCAAGTTTGTTCCAAGTAACTAAGAGGTCATCTACTCCTAAATTTCTCAAAGATTATTGATATGTTTTAACCCTTTTGACAAGTTTGTTCCACCATTGTATTTGGTGGACAATCTCATGTTAGGATGTGAAAGGGACGGGCGCGGGTCATCGTTTAGACCATAATTGCAATGGTGCCAAGTATCTTTGGGCAATTTTCTTTAAGGGGCTTGATCATTTGTTTAGGCAACTTTTGAAAGCGTCATCGAGGGACTATGATCATTTGATTTGTGTTTGTTTAGCCCAAAGAGACCTAACATGCAATATGGCCCAATTTTGAAAGGCAACAAGTGGAATACCCTAGGGGGTGCAAGTGTGATTTGTGTGTCCATTTTCATGCTTGTTTATCTTGAAATTAGGTCAAAACTATTTTCGTTGTTTTTTCGCATACAAACCCTAATTCTAACATGGTATAATTATAAAGCAATAAATAGTGCGAAAATAAATTTACTAAGCTATTACAAAACCATATTGGGAAGGGGGGTACAAATGTTCAAATGGGGATTTTGACAAGGAATTTAAACCTAAACTATTACATCAATTTGGAATTATTTACAAGATAATTTAATTGCACAATTTAAATAAGATAAGAATAAATATGCAAGATGCAAAAATGGTTTTTTGTATGTATGAAAAAAAGTATTTTTATGTGTCAAAATAAACAAAAAGAAAAGTATTATTTTTGGGAGTTTTTTCATGTTTTGGATTAAACCCTAATTCTATTAAAATAAATGCATTATTTATTTGTCATGTACAAGTATTTATTTATTGTATATAAAAATAAAATAAAATGAAGTATATTTGTCAAAAGATATTTTTATATTTAAATATTAATAAAAATAAAAAGTGTATGTATTTTTGCATTTTAATCCTAAATACATTAATATATATATATATATATATATATATATATATATATATATGTATTATTATATATATATATATATATATATATATATATGTATTATTATATATATATATATATATATATATATATATATATATATATATATATATATATATATATATATATATATATATATATATATATATATATATATATATATATATATATATATATATATATATATATATATATATATATATATATATATATATATATATATATATATATATATATATATATATATATATATATGTATTATTTACTAAATATATATTATATATACAAATTAATAATATTTAATATTTAATAAAAAAAGTATTATTTTCTATAAAATATTTTCAGAAAGTAAAACAAAATAAAAATGTATAAAAATGTATTTGCACTATTTTAATATTTTAAATAAAAGTATATGTATTTATTTATTTATGTACAAACTAAAAGAAAACCAAATAAATGCCTAATAAATTCAAAAATGGTGAGAAAAATATTTTTTATATTTTTAATATCATGAGAAAAAATAAATAAGTCAATCCAAAAAAGAAAAAGTCAAAAAGTCAAAGAAATAAGCAAAATGGGCTCAGGGGGTGCATAAGTAAAAATATGGTGCAAAAAGAAATGTCAAACAGGCTCAGCCTAGAACCAAGTCATCTTCAACCTCAGAACACCTTTGTTCAAGCCAAACACGCATTTTCTATCTCCCAATTCCTGGACTTTTAAGCAAAACTTTCAACATGAAAAGTGTAGAGCATGAGAAGACGAATCCAGGGATATAAAAAACTTGACTTAACTCTCTAAGATGAGGGAGAATTTCTTCTCCCCCAATTCCTGACCTAGTTTTTATGCCATGTTCAGACTCAAAATTCTTGCAGCACACATAATATAAATGAAATCTAATCATATGGGCATGTTCAGGGCTATGATTGTGACATGTTTTCTTCACAAACCTAAAGCTAACAATGCCTAATAAGAGAGATACGAGTTCATGAACTTACCTGTTCAGTTGAAGTTGTATCTGGCAATGGAGAAGCTATCAGTGCAAGGTGATGATTGGTATAGCTTCCTTGAGGTCCAGGGATGCTATTCCAAGCTTTACTTTGTCTTGAAACTTCTTGAATCGCGCTAGAGAACTTCAACTGCAAAACAAGAAAATGAAAATGGTGGAACTTGTTAGAGGAATTACAGGTCGTGTTTTAGGTTTTGGTTAGCTTGCATTGATGGTAGGGAAGGTGTCTGAAGTGGTTTGGGCAAGAATGCTTGAAAGGATTAAGAGTTGGAACTCAATCTGCAGAGGTTGCTCTGTTTTTGCAGTTTGAGAGTGATTTTGAGTTTTTGAAGGTATTGGAGGTGAAAGGCTCGTGCTTCAGCTTAGGATCAATGTTTGGAATGTGTTTGATATCTTTTTCTAAGGCCTGGTTGACTGATATGGAAGTTGGTATATCATATGCAATGTTACTTGAATTTTAAGCAAGCAATGGCCACTTGATGTTTCTAGCCTGTACAGGCCCTCACACTATGCTGCATACATTGGCCTTGATCAGTGCAATATGTCTCATAACTTGTGCCAAGAAGATTTTGACTGTACCACTTGGATTTGCAAAATGGACATAAAGTTCTACTTTTTCAAAATGGAAATAATGCTTTTTCTAATTAAGGGTTAATTCTCCATGTAATGTCCAAATGCATAGAACAACATCTTGGCACAATGGTTTTGCATTGAATTATTGAGTGAAAATGGGATTAGAGGCTTGCAATGTAGCTTAAGCATGCTGAATTCAAAATGGCACCAATGTATGAACATGTCTTGGCCAAGAACAAAAGTGACTTTTTCCCATTTTGCAAAATTCGATTCTCTCAAGTTATGAGGTTGTTTGATGAGTTCTTGGACATTTTGGAAAGCTTGGAATGTGTACTACAATCCATATTTGAAATGAAAATTGAAATTGCAAGTGGAAGTGTATGAAAAATGGTCTTGAAGTTAGGTAAAAAACTTGTCCAAAATAGGTCAAATTTTCACTAAGTTAAGAATGGTTTGATACCCTTGTTCCAAAAATTGTAACTTGAGATACAATCTTCTTTTGGGAAAACTTTGTGAATCAAAGTTGTAGATTATGCAACAAGCTACAACTTTCATGTTTTGACTTTTGCTTGAATCCCAATGAATCTTGGTGAGAAAGTGGGGCAAAGTTGGGAAAAAATTAGGGTTTTCCATAACTTAGAAAAATTCTAAGTTATGAAAAATTTCCATTTCAAACCCTAATTTGCATTTCTTGATTTCTTGGTGAACAAGTTTCATGATTTGGCATGTTTTGATGAAAAATGAACCTTGACCCTTGATTTTGACCAAAAAGTCAAAGTTTGACTTTTCAGTATATAGTCA